TTTGGGTTTTTTTTTTTTTTTCTTTTTTGAGACCTAGTCTCACTCTTTTGCCCAGGCTGCAGTGCAGTGGCATGATCTTGGCTGACTGCAGCCTCTGCCTCCTGGGTTCAAGCGATTGTCCTGCCTCAGCCACCTGAGTAGCTGGGATAACAGGTGTGCTCCACCATGCTGGGCTAATTTTTGTATTTTCAGTAGAGATGGGGTTTCACCATGTTGGCCAGGCTGGTCTTGAACTCCTGATCTCAGGTGATTTTCCTGACTTGGCCTCCCAAAATGCTGGGATTACTGATGTGAGCCACCATGCCCAGCCCTAGTATAGCTTTATGAAAGTGCAGTTACTGCATCCAACAGTGTGTAAATGGTTACTTCAAATAAGTACCAGAATATTACCCTCAAAAAGGCTTAAGAACTTACACTCCCACCCTTTACCTCAGTTATTGTACTCCTAGGTCTACACCCTAGAGAAACTCTGAGACAGGGGAACGATGGCATATATGCCGTGAATGTCCAGGATAGCAAAGAATGATATGCACAATTTGATGCAATTTATACAGTTTAAGAACATGCAACCCCTATTGTGTAGTTTATTGTTTATGATCACATACGTAACGCATTTTAAAACATGCATGCAGATCAGAGATACCCAATTCAGGAGAATGCTACTTCTGTGGGGCAGGAGAATGTGGTTGGGGAGGTACACAGGGGGCTTCAACTCAAGCTGTGACATTTTATTTCTTTTGGGAAAAGGTTCTGGGGCAAATATAGGGAAATGGATTTAAATTTGTTCCTAATATTTTCCCATATGCTTGAAGGAGCTCCTCATCTAAAACAAAACAAAACAAAAAACAAAGAAGACAAGAAAAAGGCAGGGCAGGTTCACAGCCCCTCTAGAGCCTACCCTATTGTTCAGGGGCACCTAGTACATCAGAGAGATAGATAACTTCCATGGGAAGAGACTTTGCACCCCAATTCACTAAGAGCCTCTTCTCTGCCAGACATCAGTATAAATCCTTCGGATATATTGCTTGGGGAACCTTACAATTCTCAACTTCCAGGCCCAAGAGAATGACAATCAAACTTTTGCAATTGTCACCCTAATACCCTAATTATCACCTGTCTGCCTGTCCATCATGGAGCTCTAAGTATACTTGAACCACGTGTGAGGAGTACTTGGGGCAAATTTTAGATTCAACCCTGGATTTGGCAATGGCCTTTACCATGAACCCACCATTGCAACACAGGGTGCAGTAAAGCAACAGCATTGCAAAGCTCTTTGTGGACACAGAATTTTTCCATAATGCCTTCTGCTAGCAGTGTTGCCTGATTAGCAGACACAATGGGACCATCAGGCCTTATCAGCACCACTTGGTGTAAAACAGAAACCAGGAAGTGCTGTCTCTCAGTGCTTGGCCCCTGTTGCCATGGCCCCTGTTGCCATGGTCCCCAAGCACTTTCTCTCAATCTCTTATAGCATCCATCAGCAAGCAGGACCTAGAAGCTCTTTCAGGCAGACCAAGAAGAAAGCTGTTAATAGGAAAGATAAGAGCAAGTAAGGGAAGTAATTAAATGAACAAAAAAATGTAGATGGAAAGAATTTGGGGTAAGGCCCAGAAAACAGCTTTTATTTTTGAAAGAATCTTCTTGAAATGTGATAGACAAAGGTGTCTGGGTCAGAATTTGCCAAGAAGGGCCCATTATGTAGCTGCCATGTGGTATAGGTACAGCAACTCTGTGCCCTGGATTTTTCAGAAAAGTCCTAGTTTCAAGTATTTTATTCTGTTTGTCAGACCAAGAATTCTGATTTGAGATTTAAAAAATAAGGTCACTGTAGTTAGAGTAGTAATCCAGGAAAGCCTGATTTAGAATCCATTGTCCCCCCTCACTGGTTGGCAGGGAATCCCCACAGGTCTTGCCCCTAGGGCCCTGAAGGCCTGGGTGAAGTGGCCCCTTATACAGCCAAGAAATATCAAAGTGCCTCTGAACTCCTCCCGTAGCTCTCTGTGGGGTTTAGCCAGAAAGGCATGGTGTTTTGACCCCCATAGACCTGGATTTCAATATGTCCTGCATTAACTCTGCCAACCTAGACCATGCTCTGAGCCTCAATTTCCTCATCTGCAAAATGAGAGCAATAACACAAGGTTATGACAGAGTTATTCTCAGCATCAAATGAAGTTTTTATTACCTTTAAAGCACTGTACGAATGTGCACTGCTAAAATCCATTCCTTCGTTCAACAAATAAGTGCCTACTACATGACAGGCATTAAGCCAGGCCTGAGCATACAGTGGTGATCAAAACAGATAGGGTCCCTGCTGTCACAGAGCTTTCAGCCCAGAGGCGTAGACAGATATTAGCCAAAGATCTCCTTATCTGAGGTCCAAGCAGAGGGGAGATGCAGTAGGGCTGCTCTTTTAAAAAGTTGACTGTGGCTGCTGTGTAGAGCCAGAAGGCAGGAGAGGGAGCTGGGAAGCCACTTAGGAGACTTCTGCCTGCAATAGTGGCTTGGTCTTGGTGAGAAATAGCCAGATTCTGGATAGATTTGGAAGCAGAATCAACAGAACTTGGTGACAGACTAACTTTTGGGAGTGAGGAAGAGGCAAAGAGATATTTTAGCTAACTGTGTCCCCAGGACTTGGGCCACTGGAGCCCACAAAGCCAATTCCAAGGCTGCTGAGGTATGATATATGGAGGGTCCATTTTTCCTTATCTTCCCTCTGTAGAGCAGTATGATGTCAGTCCTTCAGTACAGAAATCAGCCTGCTAGACTTGATCTGAAAAAAGCATTTAGTACTTAAAAATTTCCTTTCGTGTAGAATAATATATCGCATTCTAGCTTTAGGTTGAATGCAGAATTCCTCTTAGAGGTAAATTGTTTGCTTCCAATTTTTAAACTGTTTTAAAATTGACAAATGTAATTATGTGTACACATTCATGGGGTACATAGTAATGTTTTGATACAGATAATGTTTAGTGATCAGATCAGGGTAATTAACATACCCAGTATCTCAAACATTTATCATTTATGTTGGAAACATTCAGTATCCTTCTAGCTATTTGAAACTATATACTATCATTTGGGTTTTTAAATTTTTTTTCTTTTAGAAACTAGGTCTCTCTGTGTGGCCCAGGCTGGCCTCAAACTCTTGGGCTTATGCGGTCATTCTGCCTCAGCCCCCCGAGTAGCTAAGACTACAGGCACATGCCACCACACCTAGCAATGGTACATTATTGTTAACTATAGTCATCCTACAATGGCATAGAACACAAGAACCTTTTCTTCCTCCCTAGCTGTAATTTGTATCATTTAACAAATCTCTTCCTAGCCCTCCAATTTTTGAATGAGATACTACTTTAAAAATAGCTGAGTTGCCATTAACTTAGGATGCTAAAAATGTTCTTCAGTCTAGGTGCTCTCCTATGGGACCAATATATGTTCTTTGAATTGGATACCTTTCAGACCTTGTGCCCAATAGTGTTTGTTCCAACAGGTTGGAAGAGAAGAGGGCCCAAAAGGGGAGAAGGAGATGGGAAGGGCCATAGACAAACTTGAGTTTCGTAACAGTTAACCACACTTAACCGCAGTTAACCATGCTTTAGAGCTTCCAGGGGAATTTCACACATATTTGTTGTCATATTCTGCAAATTCAGGACCGCGGCTGTCTCCTGACTCCCCATCCAGTGTTTTTGCTACTTATTGCACTGCCAGGTCCTTAACTTTTTGGGGAGAAGGGGGAGGGGAAAGTCTCCGTGATAAACAAAAAAGTTTCAATAGACATTCAAAGCCCTTCTTTATTCGAAAGAATTTATTCCATTTGCATTGAGAAGGAGCATAAAAGAAAATTTGGTATTTTCCCACACCACTTGTCCCCTACACACATCAACAGGGCTTTCATTTGTTAGTTCTTGCAGGCCTACCCTTCAGAAGCTATTATCTGCTTGACAGTCTGCTGAGACCTGTTGTCTTTCTTCCTCTCTCAATTAAACTCTAAGGACTGAGGTTCCCATCTGCCCTGGAGCGAACACATCTCTTGTTATACCTGTTTCCCAGAAGCTGGAGAGCTTTTTTACTTTCTCCAACCGCTATAGTTTTCTTTTCAAAACACTTAAACCTTCTTAGTGATGTTTAACTGCAGGTGTCAATTAAATTGGTTTCCCAAACGTGAACCAAACCTTTTCTCCAATTCCTGCTGCATTTACCCTGCCTCCACCCACCCTGAACCAGGAAAGAAAAAAATCAGACACAATTTACTAAGTTATTGTCCTCTCTTTTGTATAGCCCTCTCTTAACATGAATGTGGCAAAATTGCTAGGAAGAAATGGTAGGATGTATTTCTACTAGGCAGGTCTCTTTCTCTGCAGTTGATAGAGCTGATGCAGCCATCTCTGGTTACGGTGTTTAATTGAGCAGTACCCAATATGGTGCCGTTCCTCAGGCTCTTCCTTGACGGGAAGACAGAGGTAGCCGCTGAGCAAGGGGAGCCAACAGAAGTGGAATAGTTCCCCATTCATAGACCCTTGTGGGTTTTGAAGGAGAGAGGAAAGAGAAGGTGAGGAAATAATAGGACAGAAAGGGAAGAATAAGAAAGCTGAGAGGGGTGCTTACAAGTGGAGGAATAGAAATAAAGCTATGAATAGAATAATAGAAACTCAGATTTTTACATTTTTTATTTCTTTTTTTTTTTTTTTTTTGAGACAGAGTTTCACTCTTGTTACCCAGGCTGGAGTGCAATGGCGTGATCTCGGCTCACCACAACCTCCGCCTCCTAGGTTCAGGCAATTCTCCTGCCTCAGCCTCCTGAGTAGCTGGGATTACAGGCACGCGCCACCATGCCTAGCTAATTTTTTGTAGTTTTTTATAGTAGAGACGGGGTTTCACCGTGTTGACCAGGATGGTCTCGATCTCTTGACCTCGTGATCCACCCGCCTCGGCCTCCCAAAGTGCTGGGATTACAGGCGTGAGCCACCGCGCCCGGCATTTCTTTTTATTTTAATAGTATTATGTTATGTAAACCATTATATGTTATTTTTAAATGTATGAAAAAAATTTAATGGTTTTGTTATTGTAAAATGACACATTTGCTGTTAAAATTTCAAATAGTACTGAAGAGTTTCAAGTGAAACACACATGTCAAAATCATCAAGAGTAACAGTTACTTGTGTGTCCTTGCAAACTTGTTCCATGCTTATATAAGCACCTGTGTGCGTTTGATGCACAAATGAGATGATACAATACATGCTGGTCCATTCCTTGCCCATTTTTTTTTTCAATTTACTAATAACTCTGCAGTTTTCTCATTTCTACTCAAAGAGATCTCCTTCATTCTTCTTAATGGCTGCGTATCATCCCCTTGTGTGGATGCATCATGATGTGTGGAACCCATCCCTTGTTAATGGACATTTAGGTAAAATAAAAAGTCTAGCACCACACTATCCAATAGAAATATAACGTGGGCCACAAAATGCCAGCCACTTACAGAATTTTGAATTTCACTGTAGTAGCTACATTCCCCTCCCCAGCTGATTTGAAATGCCACCTTTATTATACCCTAAATGCTCATATATACATAAGTTTATTTTGGACTGTCTATTTTATTTCATTCATCTATTTGCCAATTTTGGTACCAGTATCCCCACTTCTAGTAGTCACATTGAAAAAGTAAAAAGAAAAAGGTGAAATTAATTTTGACAATATATTTTATATACTCCAGTATATCAAAAATAGTGTCTTACAATGTAATCAATATTAAGAATTATTAATGAGATACTTTATATTCTTTGTTTCATATTTAGTCTTTGAAATCTGGTGTACGTTTTACACATCCAGCACATTTCAATTCAGACTGCCAATTTCAAGAGCTTAAGAGCCACATGTGGCTTCTGGCTACTGTATTGGACAGTGGAGGTTGAGCAGGCAGAGGTTCAAAATGTCACCTGAGCTGTGTGTCTCTGTGGTTGGTAGTAATGGATTAGAATGTCAGACATTGAGGACGAAAACTTCAACTTCACCACTCGGGGCAACTCATGAAGCTTCCCAGGGCCTTCGTTTGTGGACTCCAATAAACTCATTGTATGCTGGTTGAGTGCAGACCAGAACAGCTGAGCCAAGTACAGTCAGGCCTCGCTTCACAATGGGGGTACAGTGTGAGAGAAATGTGTCATTAGGTGATTTCCTCATTGTGCAGACATCGTAGAGTGTACTTATACAAACCTAGAGAGTGTAGCTTGCTACACACCTTGGCTATATGGTACAGCTTATGGCTCCGAGGCTACAAAGCCATACAGCATGTGACTTTGCTGAATATTACAGACAATTGTAACACAATAGTACTATTTATGTATCTGAACATACCTAAACATAGAAAAGATAGAGCAAAAATATGGTATAATCTAATGGGGCCATCGTCATATATGCAGTCATCGTATATGCAGTCCATTAACCCAGGGGTCTCAACCCCTGGGCCACGGACCCATATCAGTCCATGACCTGTTAGGAACTGGGCCACACAGCAGGAAGTGAGTGGCAGGCAAGCAACCATTACCGCCTGAGCTCCACCTCCTGTCAGATAAACAGCAGCATTAGATTCTCATAGAAGCACGAACCCTATTGTGAGCTGCACATGTGAGGGATCTCAGTTGTATGCTCCTTATAAGACTCTAACTAATGCCTGATGATCTGAGGTGGAACAGTTTCATCCTGAAACCATCCCCCACAACCAAGTCAGTGGGAAAATTGTCTTCCACAAAACCAATCCCTAGTGCCAAAATGGCTGGGGACTGCTGTGTTAACTTACATGTCATTATGCACATTGCTGTATAAATGCCCTGGCCTTTCCACAAGCTGTAGCCTGCTGGCCACAGAGATAATAGAAAGAGCCTGGGTGCTCAGGAGGTGGTTATCTGAGGTCTGTCACAGGTTCCCCTTTCTTTGTCTCCAGAGATGCCTCTGTTCACAGCTTCTCATCACACTCAAAACCCAATGCCTGCTTCCCTTTTTTTCAAAAGCAGAGTGTGTGGCAATGGGTCTCTGAGGAAATCCCTAACACTGTGGTTGGGGAGGGTGTGGTGGGTGGAACCCACACTGTGACTTACTCAACCGTGAGATCTTAACTGTGTGGCCCCAGAGCCACTGTGCTTCTGAGCGGCAGTGGTGACAGCCATGGCGGCACAGCTTAGAGCCTGGAATGGTAAGCATGGGTGCAATTGCATCTTGCAAGGAGACTCGCATTAGGGTTTGAATTCGAGGTTTGTTGCCTGGATGGGTGTCAGCAGAGTGGGAGGAGGCAGGTGGCTGGAGAGCACTGGGGATAGGTAGGGCAGCCAGCTTTGCCCTGGCCCGAGTCAGGCCAGGTTTGGGAAGCATTTTGACTCCACAGCAGGCTTGGGGGTTTGGCCCCTGGGTTGGCAGGAAGCTGAGAAATGTGATTATCTCCCACAGGACAACATGCTGTCTCTGGACAAAGGCGGCGGCCCCATGCCCACTGCCTGACTAAGTTCTAAACCAGCCCTCTCCCAGCCTTTTCTCTCCAAGCTGGCCAGCTACAAGACCCAACCCTATGGTGGAGCCAAGGATTCAGAGCAGCTAGGCTGCAGGAGAAAGGAATTTTCTCCTGTGGCTGCTTGGGAGGGAGCTCTTTTTTGTCGGCCCCGCCCACCAACTTCCCCATTGCCATGCCTGGAACACCAGAATTCCTTTTCCGTTCCTGCTGCTACCTTTTCCTCCAGCCCTGCAGCCTAGAAACTCTCAGTCGTATCAGACTCTGAAGCACCAGGCAGCAGCCCAGCTTCTTTCTGTTTGATCTCACAAGCCGTGACCTCCCAAGAAATCACACCTAGACTAGGAAGACAGAGTAGTGTCACAGGAAATCTAAGTCCCATGCACCTGGTAATCTCACCCCAGCTTCCACTGCTCCAGCCCCCTCCTTGGGCTGGCCAAAGTGTAGAAGCCCTGTTGATTAAGTCTCTTCCCTGAATGTTGGCAGCCTATGCTCTGCACTAACTTAGCACCTAGTGCAGAGCCTGGCACATACATGGGAGCTACCGAATGGCACTCTCTTGGATGAATAAATGTATAGATGAATTCACATGCTTTGGATATTGTCTTTGTTGTGCCTCCTCAGGGCTCCCAAAGCCTTAAAACTAGAACTTGTCACCTCATCACTGTAGAGTCTTCCACTCGCAGGCATCTATGCACCTGCTGATCTCTGCTGCTAAGAAAAGGTGACAAGTAAAACTAGCCAGTGGATTCCTGAGGGTAGTCTAGGAGTCTTGAAGCCTAGCAGTTGTTTTACAGGCTGAATCATCCTACCTTGAGAACCAAGAGCATGAGACTTGGCATCAGACAGACTTAGTTCAAGTCTCAACCCTGCAGTTTCCGATCTATATAATCTTAGTCAAAAGTTACTTCACCGCTCTAAGATTTAGTACTTTACTCTCCAAAATGGAGCTAAGCATACCTACCCAGGATTATAGTGAGGAATAAATGAAAAAATATATTAGGTTTAACCCTATGAAACTGCCCAAAACATTTAAATGCCAGCAATTTAGTGTAGTTCAATCTAATATATAAAGTGCTTTATAAAGTATAAAGCAGTATAATAAGTACCCCTATATTAGTATTCATTATCTGTAACAGATATAATTTGAAAGTCACAAAATATTGTTTTTTGCAGTACTAGTGACTAATTACTTTCATCAGAATACAGGTCAAACTAACAGAAGAAGCCACTTCTCTAACAATCATGGGCTGCAGGCATATCCTGGAGCATTTTGGCCTGGGAAATAGGGACCAGGTGTTTTTAGGAAACTAGACTGGTTCATGGAAAGCAATGGAGGTGAACAGCAGGGTAACTTGTGACAGCTCCTACCTGGAAATGACTCACCAGCAAAAGCACAGTAGGAGTTGGCACATTCTACTGCCCCAGGTGGGAGTACCCCCTCCCTAGCTCCAGTTGCAAAGCAGACGCTGCCTAAGACAGACATTCCTTCCCAGGGTGGCAGAGACACAAGGTCCTGGCCACCAGGCATCTGAAGGAAACTAAAAACAGCTTCTTGCCAATTTACCCTCCCTAGTGGCAGCTGTCAAGCCCAGGGAGCTTCTCTTGACCTAGCAAAATCCCAGGCCTGAGAAAGCTTGGATTTGGAACTGATAGCTGCAGTGGCCACAGTCGGGGGAGTGGGGGAAGGTTCTCGCCGTATTATACATTGCTCCCTCAATCCCAATCCTAGATGTAAAGGTCACTGGAATTTCAGGCCAGAGGGGACTGGAGAGAGTCCAGAGAAATGCCCACAGATTCGCTCTGCCTCTGTTGCTGGCACCCCAGGCCAAGGATTACTGAAGCACTAAGCAAACAGCTATAAACTTCCTCAGCAGTATTTCTCACTTAGGGCATCACGGTACTTCTGGGTAAGACAATTCTTCATTGTACAGGACCATCCCATGCATTGCAGGACATTTCGAATCTGGTAGCAAGGTAAGAGTAGAGCTGGATAAGTCCCAGGTCTGAAGTTCAGGAGAAGGGCTCGAGCAGAGTAGTGGCCTCTCCACAGCTCCAAATGGTGTCTTGGAGAAGGCATCTTCAACTAGATGCTTGCTTGATGGCTGTGCACCACCCAATGAGCCAAGTGCCTGGACAATCTTGGTTGGGCCACCAGAAACGTGTAAAGTCACTCAGACAGGGCCTGGGACCTGAGAGGAGAAAAGCCAGAGAAGATACCCTCCCAGAGCTGCCCATGGGCGGGCAGTGTTCTGCACCGCTCTTAGCCCCAAGCCCTGACCAGCCTGTGGCAGAAGTCCATGTGGATAGTGAGGCCTACTTGACCCCGTGCCCGAGTACCAGTTTCCAGAATCAGCCAGGATGGATGTAGGATGCGTGACATTCATTCAGGGAAGTGCAAATATCCAATTTGAGCTACAGTATGGACTCCCCATAGCACAGAGGTGCTTGACCAGGAGTTCATGTACTTGAATTAGAAAAAAATTACAACTTTATCTTCATTAACCTGTAACTGAAAGTTAGCTTTTCTTCCATTATGAAAACAGACCATACATCACAGTGGCATTGGCAGTTACCTGTGACTTTATCTCTAATAGGAACCACAGATGTTTGTATGTCTCATTACTGCTGCTGCAGGTATCTTGAATTATTGTCCCACTCACGACTACTTTAAAATCATGACAGTCACTGGACCCGCCACTAGCTCATGTTACTTGATGTGTTAATAATGAAATGCATATTACTATGTTGCAAATTTTAAGATATATATAGATAACTTTAAATGCAATTGACTTCCTTTGTAATCTTATGTATTTTATTTTGTGCTTGTAAAAACATTCCAAGTAGGGGCCCATAAGTTTCGTTAGACTCCTCATGGAGTCCAAGCCAGAAAAACGTTAAGAAATCCTGGATTAGAAGGTTGGCAGGAATTCAGTCTCACTGGAGTCAACAAGGAAGGCCTTGAGTGCAAGGAGAAGGAACACAGGCTCGAGTTCTGCTCGCATTGAGGGAATGCTAAAGGTTTCTGAGCAGGAGGTTGCCCAAGGTGACGCTAAGGTCTCCAGGCTGGGATTCATTCACAGAAATACAGAAGTAAGGAGGAAGAGTGGATTAGGGTAGTGGGAGAGGGTTCTATTAAATATATTAAATTTGAGACTGAAACAAGTGGGCATCCAGTGAAGATGTCCACCAGGCTCTGAGAAATGCAAGTGGGCAGACTGGGAGAGTGGCCGTGGCAACAGGAAAGATTTGAGGATCATCCTCTGAGATGATCATGGGGGCATTTGGAGTAATTGTGCTCAAGAAGGGACAAAAGGCAGTGAGAGAAAAGAGGCCGAGGCAGGGATGGTCATAAGCATCTCCAAGAAACAGATTTGGAGATATCAATTTGCCTGCAAGAGGTTTGTTGGGGACTGCCTTCTGGAACAGCACCTGTGAGGGAGCAGGATTGGTCAGAGACAGGAGTTCACCTGCAATGTAGTTACACTGGAGACCTCAGTCGATCACATGGGAAGCTCTGGAGCTGAGATGCTCTTTAGATGGTCCCAGCTGAGGCCAGGTAGCTGGGCCTTTCTTCCTCTACCTCCCACCCCACCCCATCTATTGACTAGACCTTGGATACAGGCTGCCCCCCAGGAAAGGGGTTCTGACCTTGGAGAAGGGACTCGACTGTGAGCCATCAACCAACACTTCTAATAGCTGGGGGACTGAGTGCCTTGGTCCTGACTAGAGGATCAAGCACCTCAAGGTCTGGTGTTCCAGCCATTCAGGAAATGCAACTGGCTCCCTCCTACCCTGCAGGCCTCTGGGCAAGTCCCTCTCTGCAGCCCAAAGCCAGTTATAGGAGTCCCAGGGACAGGGAGCCAGGGCCTAAAAGGAATTTGAGTCCTTGATACCTGTAATTGAGAGTCTTCAGTCCTTCCCCCAACCTCTCTTATTTGATGCTAAGATAGTTGGGATGAGGTAGGTGGAAGTTAGAGGGAACTGTGCTGTTGCCATCCCTGCACAGTTTGTTTATAAAAGGTTACCAAACTAAGCAAATCAGCCACCATGGAAACAGGCTCTGTGGCTTTCACATCCCTCCCTTCCTTCTGGGGTGACCCACATCTCAAAGAGGGGATGTCACCACAATTGAGGTTACAGATCTGCTCACAAGGCCCGTGAGCTACCCAGGAAATGCAATACTGTTATAGCCATCAAGTAAAAGAAGGTTGGGCTTTATTTTTAAAGAGAGAAATGTAAAAACTTGACTTTCGATTTTGATGTTCATGTCCTTACACCAAAAAATCAAACCAAATAGCAACTGAACTGACTACGCATAAGTTCCCCCAAACCTTTGAAATTTACAGTAGCTGTAGGAAACTTAAATCCAGAAACAGTCATTCATTCACTCCCTTATGCCACAAAAAAAAAAAAAAAAAAAAAAAAAAATTCTGAGTTTGCAAAATGATAGGTTGAAAGACCAAGTGTGGCCTGAAGTCCAGGTTTTTTTGTTCTGCATGGTTTAAAAACTAACTTTCGCCGGGCGCGGTGGCTCAAGCCTGTAATCCCAGCACTTTGGGAGGCCGAGGTGGGTGGCTCACGAGGTCAAGAGATCGAGACCATCCTGGTCAACATGGTGAAACCCCGTCTCTACTATAAAAAACTACAAAAAATTAGCTGGGCATGGTGGCGCGTGCCTGTAATCCCAG